GCTTGCGGCGCGCGACAAATGACAAAGGAATGGGGCGAGCTTAATGCAAATTGACATTTGGAAGCATTATTGGTGCATTCTACACGCCGTTTTGGGCTGCCTATGGTTGAATGTTGAACTTTCAGTTGCAGAGTGTAATTTATTGTTCTTATAGTGCAGAGACTCCAAGAGGCTGAGAGGCAGAGTGTATTGTTCATTAATTTTGATCATTACTATCATTCGTTTATATATAAACGTTTGTTATTGTAAAATATCCATTGGTGCTTTTCTACCAAACTCCCAGCATATATATGGTGTCTCAAAAAATGTCCCCTCTGTTGTTGGTTAATTACTACGAGTAAAGCCTGCTTTCCATATGGTCATAAAAATCGAGTCACAATTTTCTCAAAGGTCAGTATATAGTAGTTTATACATGTAAACCACATATAAATCATAAGTATTCACTAGTTCTAATCACTCTGCATATTTTCAGTTCTAAAATGTTGCATTTCGGCTGATGAGAAAGATTGTGACTCAATCTTTTGACCATATGGAAACCAGGCTTTATATTAGTACTTAACCAACAACAGGGCATGTAGTAAAACACTGACTACCGGAACACCGGAACCCACCAGAACACCGGAACACCACCATTTTTGGGGGGGTTAGGGTTTGGGGTTAGGGTTAGGGTTGGGGGTTAGGGTTGGGGTTAGGGTTAGGGTTGGGGGTTAGGGTTGGGGTTAGGTGGTGTTCCGGTGGTGTTCCGGCGGTGTTCCGGTAGTCAGTGTTTTACTACATGCCCAACAACAGAGGGGACATTTATTGGGAAACCCTATACATGTGCCTGTGGGTTTATACACACCCAAAGCCCAGAGGTATTCAAAAAAGAAACACTGGTTGCAGTTTAAATCAAGCCTAATGATAAAATATTTTTCTTCCTGGCAGCAGACTTCCCAGACCAAAAATCTCCTGCCAATTTTTTTTATAAATTTGAATTTTGGTTGTAATTCAATAACAGCGTCATGTATTTAACAATTATTCACTGAAGGCGAGGTGATTAGTCGGGGAATATTCACTGAGACAAAGATTTGACCAATCAACATGTAGGATTTGTTATGTTCCCTTGTGCAAAAATACTTACTAATTAGTCATATACTACACCAATATTAAGAAAAATATAGGTTTACTAGAATTAGGAACATGAAGGAATTCTATGAAACAATATTTGAATTTTGTTTTCAAATTGTAAATCTGAATTTATATCAGTATTCATGCACTATTCAATAATAGTAGTACACCCTTGTTTTCCACATGTATCATAATCATGAATCATAATAACAGACAGTCGTATATATAGCATTGCCACATGATACAAATTTTTATGTTATGATTGATTGAGATTAAAAAAATTCCTGGCAGCATGCTGCCGGACAGTCTCATGCCTTGGTTCAAATGTTGTGTTTTGTCACCTGTGGTTTCTTGATATTGTCGAAACAGCACAACTGGTCATGGAAACCATGCTTTTGAAGTATAGGCAATTAGAAACTTAAATTAGAGATAATTTCATCAATAATTGGCCAAGGCAACCTAAAAAAGCATGTATATTTTATTTCTATTGTCAGAATATCACACTGCCTATAGTTGCCTGACAATTTTACTTTGGTATCAACAAGTTGAGTCCATCAGTGGTTGAGGTTTAATTAAGCAGATTATTATTTTTAATTAACTTTGAATATATTTTTATATTTATACTCAATTAGATATTGAATGATAAATACACCCCACATTTTAAATAAATTTTGTTGTTCTAATTCAAAATTCAACTTCACTATTAAAGTAGATTTACTCTACAGAAAGCTTCATTAAGTTTGCCTTCCAGTTTAACAGAATAACAAATAAAAAAGTACTAAAAGTAAAAATATCTTTTATCGTACTAACTATAAGACATGTCTATATATTTTGTAAAAAGGCTTTATAGTAAGATGGATAATTGAAAATTTGAAACCCTCTGGTCGATCAAGGTTAAACATAAATGATAAAACGAACTACTAACTTTCCATTAAAAGTATACTTGAGTATAATAGATCATATTCTGCCTCCGTAATTGGAAAGCAAACTAGAAATTGTGCTGTCATACCACTGTGGCGATAAAATATTATTCCCGCATGGACAACTTTGAACGAACAAAACCGACGATATTTTAGGGCAATCTGGATAATTTTCGTTTTAAAAGCATTAACATAACATCTTTTACCCACGGTGGAGCGATCAGCTTGGTAAAACTTCGCAAAGTATCTCAAATTCGGGAAAATTCACCTTGGTTCACGTTGTTCGCCATACATTTCTATAGTAATTTGTATCACTCCGTGGTCCCCGGAAGTGATTTTCGCATATATAATTTGGCTTCACTTTTCACACCTAGAGAAGCTATATCCAGTCTACTATTAGATCAGTGATCGGAACGAGGAAACCAGTTACATTTATCGTTCTCAAACGCCTCTCTTAAACCAGGCTTGACCAATTCTTCAACACTTTCACCACTAATAGCGATATAGGCACTGTCTGTATCCATCTCGCAATACTCATAATCGGAACGGTCAAGGTATGTATCTAAACAGTCGTAGTAAAACTGTAACATTCGGAGTTTCGCATACTGGTACACGAAGAACCCCACCTGTAAAATAAGAATAATTTATTAATTTATATTTCTAATGACAAAATGATCATGCAATACATACCTGTAGTGGTAAGTCCAACTAAATTTTCTTCTTAGTACTTTCCACTTCGTAGGTGTCATCGTCGATCACGTTCATTTGGCGGTAGAATGGTGAGTTGATTAATTCAGAAACCTCATCATCGTTGCAGTAATCCACCTTGCGATGACGCTTTTTGTTGGTGATGGTCTTCCCGTATGAGCTGTATAGAAATACAAAAAAAATGAGTATTTCTTGAATATGTCACGACAGCGTGATTTTAAAACTCACCTATTCCCGACCAATTTCATCGTGTCCGCAATGATGGCTTTGGAGGGGTCTGCATCACCAGCACGACAAGCATCCGATACAGCGTCACCGAAAGGTTTGAAGTATGGCTTAGGGGTATACTCGACTATCTGGTAGACGTGTGTTACCTAAAACGATAATAAAATTTGTTAAACATTTTCTCCTGCAATTTACAAGTTTTTAATATTTAAAACGTACCTCTAAACCATGTTCTAAATACCACTTTAGAAGAGGGGTTGCCAACATTATCTTCTTTCCGATCATACTTCCAATGAGACTTCGCCGGGGTCGGGGCATGATGTTGTTTTCTTCGGCGTAGCTCTTCATGAACTCACCGATGTCTTCTCGACATATTTCGGTATTCTTGAAGATGGGGCACATCTCTTTGAAGTATTCTCGCAAACTCTCAGGCACGTGGATATCACACTCCACACATCCAAATAGTTTATCATTCTTCACTGCGTTGATAATGGACTGTTTGGTCATGGTTTTCACTTTATCCAGTGGTCGACGCAGATGGGTGGCGATGAATCGTTGCAGCGCGCTGTTTCGTTTCTTCATATCTCGCCACTCACATTCCCAACATTCAACGAGATTGAATTCCTGCTTCGTGATATAGGCACTGTTTCTTTTTGTCTCTTCAAGGATTTCTTTCATGGGCTTATCACGCTTCTCGTTGACTTCTTTACCTTCGTTCAGATGACAGTTGTGCCCATGCCAATAACAACCTATTAAAATAAAGTGCAATACAGTTAAACCTACAAAAGAAAAATAAAGTTATCCTACAAGCCCACGCAATCGCTAAAAACTCATTAACTCACTCCCACACAATTAACTTAATCCTAGCTAATTAATTTAATCTTAACTACACTAAAACAACAACTTACCATGAAACTGAAACACCGTTTGTGATTCAGCGTGAAAACCGTCCACAGGGAGACGACGAGTGCCAATTCTTTTCTCCGTGTTGTTGTACTCGTGTCTGATACTAATGTCGTGACTGTACGCTTGCCATTCTAACCATTCGATCGCCATTTTCCCACTCCACCGTTTCTTAAACCCGTCCTCCTCTAACCGTCTTGTGTACTGCCCCGTTGGCATGTCTTGCATGATGGCCCACAAGTAGAGCGCATTGGCATCGTAACCAACTATATTTTTGCAGGGTTTCGATTCTTTTCCTCTGGCTCGCATTTCTTCCTTCCGTATGAATGATTTCTCTTTCTCGTGGTACCTGTTAAAGATAAT